AATAAAAAAAAAAAAAAAAAAAAAAAAAAAAAACGTTGCAGCCAAAATAATTCCTCCTGAAGTTAAATGTTGAACGAAAGGTCAAGTTAAATGTTATATTTTGTTTTCCAACAATGTCTATCACGGCAGTATGCTTATTTTTTTTTTAATCATAATTGTTTTCTTTTCTTTTTTATTTTTTTGACTTCTTTTTTTTGGCCACTCACGTCTGTCTTACATTTAAGATTACAAATGATATCTAGTGGCAAGAAGGCCTCAGCAAGCTCGTTAGAGCTTTTCTAAGGAGATCTCCCATTTCTTACATTCTTTTCTTTACAGGTATAGCGTGGTAAACCTAATGTAAGAACTTCAATAGGTTTGACACGCGTCAATCCTAGTGTCTTAGTAAAAAAAGTTTCCTTGCTGCCTCCCTAAACTCTTGCATTCTTACGGCATATATTAGGGGATTGACTATAGAATTGAAAAGATAGACTAAGTAAACCGAGTAACGGATCCGGATGTGGGAAAGTACTGCAGGGCATAATTTATTCCCCGCTATGTGATGGCCGATAACATTCCAAATAACCCAAGGAAGAATGGCCAGGAAAGAAGCCACAGTAACTATAAATAAAGTCACCATTAGTTTTCTCTCTGTTGAAAGAACTGGTCCTGCATTAGGGGAGAGAGGATTGTTTTTGACAGTTGAGATGATTATAGCATATGAAACTGTGAGAATGAGAATGATCAGAAAATAGTAAGATGCATAAACATACAGTAAAGCCGGCGATGCGTGCAAAGAAAGAAGAATAAACACGGATGACAAGATCAAGGAGAACAACCAACTACACAAAATAATGATTAGGTAAACCCTTTTTCCAACAAGACAATGCCTAAAGGGAAAACGTGTTGCGTGTAACCTCTCTAAAGAAATCAATGAAATATTAGCAAAAGAAGCAACTAAAAAAAGCTCCTGTAATGTGAATTGCACGAATGATTGCCAGCTAAAATCTTGTTCCGGACCCAGATCCGTCTCTAGGTTATGTAGTTCGAATGACATCGAAGATCCGGTCACTGTTCCCACCAGTAAATCAGCCACGGTCAGATTTATTATCAGGTACGTACTGGGCTTGCGTAAGTGACGGTTTCTTGTGTAGATGGCAAGAGTGAAAGCATTCAGTATAAAGATGACAATAAACTCGATGACGAAAGCTGCAAACCAGGCCCTTTTTTCTTTTTCAGAAACAATTCTACAAGTCTCATTCGAAAAGTTCCAGCTTTTTTCCATCCTCAAGAAGTGTTACGTTGACCGTTGGTATCCCTCTTTTCTACAGTAATTTTACCTTTAAAGAATACAAACAAAACAACATGTTAATGCAACTAGGAGCAGTAACTCAGCAAAGGAAAACATATATAAGAAAGATAAAACAACAAAATGATTCAGAAGCAATATCAATAAAAGGAGTCAGTCTCAATTTTCCAACAAACCGCGTTGACGAGCGTTTTACCGAGCACTCCAAATAATGTTGACATGAATGAAGATGAAGTTAATCTTGCATTAATCTATCGCAAAATGGGAATGAGGTATTTACTCTTATTTATGGCAAGTGATACATCAGGTAAGATAATAATAATGAAAAAACAACCTCACCTGTAACTGGAGCGAACAAATAAATAATGTTCTTTTTACTTCGTTAGAATAATTAACTGAGGGAGTCTATTTTTTACCAGCCCAGTCGCCTACAAGGGCTTGGGCTTACTCGACATTAGCGTTTTTAATATTTAAGAACTTATTTCTTGCTCTGTAAATATTATGGCAAACAATAAACAATAAACTAGTGTAATAATTGCAAATTAGGAGAGTGCGTTCGATGGGGAGGGGGGCTAGGGTGGTGGGTAGTGAGTGGTAGTGGGAAGGGGGTGCAAAACTTGATGGGCTTGTAATATTGAGAAATCAAAATCAAACAGTTTTATCAATACGAATATCAGCATCTGTCTTTATCAGCGTTTCGTTTTCGTTTTTCTTCTTAATAGACGATAGAAAGCTAAAATTTGTCCATCATGATCACTGATTTCGATTATTGATTTTGAATTCCGGCTTTCCTGTTTGACCGGTGGCATGGATATAAGCTACCTTTGACAAGGCTTACTTGTGCAAGTTCGGGTTCACTTTTACTGGAAAATTAAAAGCAACTGAGGAATGCCTTCTGGCGTGAAAATTAAGCGGGAGTTTATTTCGCGCTTTACCGGTTTGCGTTTCACGGAATCAAATTTTTGCTATGACTCGTGTATTCCGCAATGCGAAAACAACTTTTGTGGATTAAGACACGCACTTTGGCCATATTTTAGGAACGATTCTTAAGTGATATGGCAATTCGTACGGGATGTTAATTCATATTTTTCGTTTGTCATAAAACGTCGAAATGAAGTTCAAAGCGACGGCGGCGCTAGTATCCCCTTTGCCATTGGTTCATCCATTATAAACCAAAAACGAAATGAAACAGTTTCTTTCTGTGGGTCCCCAACCTACCACTGTCTAAATACTTAACTAACGTACTGAAACCGCTGACTGAATCTAGACACAAACTACAGTCTACTGAGAACTTTATTGACGCCATAAAGACAATACAGATACCGGACGACCGAACTAGTGTCCTTTGACGTGAAATCACTGTCCACCAGTATTCCACTTCGACTGGCTCTAGACTGTACTGAGAACGCTATTAAGAACCCTACTGTTGAACTACCACTACCTACAAGCGACATTATGGACCTACTTAATCTCTGTTTGACTTCGACGTACTTTCAGTACAACGGCAAACGCTACAAACAGTTACACCTTACAGCTATGGGCTCTCCAGTTTCTGTTGTTGCAGCAGAAATTGTCATACAAAACATCGAGGAACAAGCCCTAACTACCTACACGCGAACTGTACCTGTTTGGTTACGTTACGTTGACGACACATTCACCGCCGTACACAAGACGGAATCAACGATTTTCACGAACACCCTAACAGACAGAACGCGGACATAAAGTTCACCAAGGAGATCGAAGAAAATGGTAAGATACCTTTTCTAGACTGCTTGGTCACTCGCGACAACAACAAACTAAAAACGACTTTTTACAGAAAACCGACACATACCGATCGATTACTAGACCAGTCTTCGTACAACCCGACCTCTCACAAGGCTACTACTATCCGGACTAGTTTGCTACTCACCTGACAGCCTACAAGACGAGACTGATTATCTTAACAACGTCTTTAGTAAGAACAATTACAACACGGACTTTGTTCGACGGAACACGCACAGTAACACTGATTCCAGCACTCAGACCAACTCTGGCCCTTTTATGACAGCGACTATACCGTACATCAGAGGCACCTCTGAAACTATTTTACGTATATTGCAACCTTACAATATACGTGTTGCACACAAACCACTTTACGGCAACTGCTTACTAATGTCAAGGACAAAGACAAACCGGAGGACAGACAGGGAGCAGTATACAAGATCAAATGCTGCGACTGCCAGGCTTCTTACATGGTTAAAACCGGCAGAAACCTAAGCACACGACTGACCGAACACAAACGCGCAACGAGGAATGGTGACGTCAACAATCACATTGCTGAGCACCATTTAAAGACGAAACATCAAATTGACTGGGATTCTGCGACATGTATAACGTAATCTACAGACTACTATCAACGTCTTACTTTAGAAAGCTGGTTTACTAACTTAGAACAAACGCCACTGAATCGTAGCCAACAGTTACCAGCGCCGTACAAACGACTTATTGACGAGATCAAGCAAAACTAACTACGAGAGAACGACTAGAGAACTGACAATTTGACTAACAATAGACGACTGTTTAACTGTGACAATAGACGGATCGAAACGCACCAATTACTGATTACGAGTCTTCATAGCCAATAACATCACGGCTTAACTGACAGACGACCAATAACATCGCGACGTAATTGACCAATCAGATCAATAACCAGAGTATAATACCATCAACTGACGCGATACAACTCACTTTGACTCTGAAGATGACTACCGCACAGGTTGTCGAAACGTTAGTCACTGTCAATAACAACAGTCCTATTCAGGACTACGTTCACCCGCACGATCAAACTCAACCTACGCTTGAAACACTTCATGCCAGAAACTTTTCAAGGCTTGCACGTTTCTAACTTTAAGACTTTGCTCAGGATACTACAATAACAGGCATGACTTTTCACACGCGGCTCGTGTGCTTTTGATAATCACTTTTCAGGTAGTACACCTGCTATACCATTTCGCCTATCCTTTCTGGCGTCTGCGCTTTTTGTGTTAATCAACGACAGGAAACCGAGTTAGTTCTGGGAATATAGCTGCCCCTGAAATGTATGTATTACAAATGAAGCAAGCCCGTTTCCCGGGAGATGTACTACTTGCTTAAAGAGAAAAAGGATCGCTATTATGTAATATCTAGGCATAACGCTTCTAACATAGCAGAGTTACCGTAAAGATTCCCTAAACAGGGTCGTCAGGTGGTTGGGGGAGTGAGATTTCGCAGCAGCTATCTTTAAAACAGGGAACGGGGAATGGGAGAATGGGAATGGGGAACGAGGCATCTTTAAAACGGGGAATCTTTAAAATGGGGAATCTTCAAAAAATGGGGAAATCTCTAAAGCGGAAATATTTAAAACGGGGAATCTTTAAAAGTGGACATCTTTAAAATGGAGATTTTTTAAAACGGGGAATCAGATTTACAAGATTCCCATTTTTAAAGATTCCCCGTTTTGAAGATTCCCGCTTTTAAAAACTCCCCGTTTTAAAGATTCCCCGTTCCTCGTTCCCCATTCTCGTTTTCCGATTCCCGGTTCTTTGTTTTAAAGATATCCATTTCGCAGGTTTATTTAATTTTTATTTTTTTGCCTTCATGCTAGGATCTTTAGAAAATCCTGAAAATGCGCCAAAAATCATATCCCACAAAAATTAGCCCAGTAAATTAGCCCAAATTTAGAGAATTAAAATGAACAGGTTTATTATATGCAAAATCATTTGGTTTCAATTTCTCGAAAACAAAGTTTACTATATCATTTCATCCTTTACTGAGCTGTTCTCTGTTCAGTTTAATTCTAGCTCTCTGAACTCTGTATTTTTACTAATAATCTTCCTTATAAGTTTATCAATATATTACTATTTGTTAAGCAAACGCGCTCTCCTTACGCGTTCCTGCTAAAAGCAAAGAGAGGTTCCTTCGTTAATTTTGCAAACGTCACAACAGTTTTACTGGTGTCTTGACATTCGTCCATTATCATTTTTGATGAAGCGTGCTCCCAAGTTAAGATGTTATCACAGTGCTATTAGTGAAAAGAAAATATATCCCGGTTTCTCGGCTATGTTGCAGATACGACGGTATGGAACCATAGTGAAAGTAACACGGCCATAGAACTTATCAACTTTATAAAGATTAAGACTCAGTCGAAACCAAAAGGAAAAAAGTACAAAAATGAAAAGCAAATTTGTCGTAAATGAATAAATTATGCACCACCCATCTTACATTAAGCCTGCTTTTCCTCCTTTTAAAACCTTACGTATGTAGTAATAATAATAATAATAATAATTTATTTCTTATTAGGCGCATATTAACATCTGAATATGATCAAATGCGCCTGTATGTAGACTGGACCGACGAGCATTATGACAAAAATATTTGTGTAATACCGATACCCTGGACCAAATCGTCTCTGAAATAAACAGTTGAGCGATTTTGGTGGCGCAATTTCTTTGCTGGAGCGAAGCTGAGCCACGCCGATCTAGTAAGTGGAGCGTCACATAACGGAAAGGTTTTTTGCCATACTTTGGTGCCGTGTGAAAGTTGAATAAAACTTTCTGGTGCAGAAGGTTTTGGTGGGGACGGCGATGCTAGATTCTATCCATTGAAAGTCTATTTTTTTTTTGGAGGTGGGGATGGGTCAGTGTAAAATATAGGTTCGATTAGGGGCCACCTGTGAAATGTTTTTCCAACTGAAAAATCCTCATAGCCCTTACCCACAATGAATGCCCTCAAACAGATAGGAGAACCTATTCCTTAGAATAATTTATGATAATACTACCGTAGGTAAGCTGTGGTTGTCATAGATACCTTTGACATATACTTTCTAAACAGCCTTCAATTCCATACTGCAGATAACAGGTGCTTTTAGAGTACCCTCACAGAAAATCCTCTTA